GATCCCCTCCAAATAGGACCGGGCCCCCAGCTGATCATCCTAAAGTCAGTCTATGAGTGACAACTGGTCCCTTCACCAGCGTGCACACATGCACGTGCGTGCACACACACACAACTACACAGGGTCTTACCTACACACACACACACACACACATCCATACTCCTGGCATGCACACCTGCACACACATGCATGAACACACACACACATACACACACAGAGCTGCCAATCAACTCTTTAACATCCAACTCTGGAATCTGGGCTTGGCCATGCGATTTGCATTAGCTCAGGGGAAATCAGCAAATTCCATATAGGCCAAGGCTTGAGAGCACTGTGGTCAGAGTCCTGAGCCCACAGTGAGAATGAGCTGAAGCCAGCCTGCGGGAGAAGCCCTATGGAGGAGGGCAGAGGCGTGCTCGTTGAGAGCCTCCTGACCAGATCTGTTACTGAGACCATCTCAGGCTAGAGCCACGAGGGGACTGCTGGTACGGGAGTGACACCAGGCAGGACTGACAGAAACCCACCCGGCTGAGCACAGCACAATCTGCCAGCCTACTCGACTGGGAGGAAATGAAATGGGTGCTGTTTTACATTGCTAAGACTAGGCGCGGTTTGTTATGTGACAACAGAAATGAGACAGAACTTGCAGACTTTGGGAAGGTCAATCGTGTGGCTGTCCCAAGGGCAGATCGTTTCAGGCGGGCTCGAGCCTGAGTCCATGCACTGTGTGAGGAGGAGCTACCAGCAGCCCGAGGGACTGGGGTGGCGGGGGGGTAGTGAGCCCAAGCCCCAGGACAGGAGGTCAGAGGGGTGGCAGGGCATTCTCATTGCCAGGCTGGACAGCCTTCCAGAACACGGTAAAGACAGGCTTTTACAAAAAGAGAAATGAGCCCTTCTGGGGTTCTGAGAGCAGGAGTGCCAGATCTGATTGCATCCGCACGGCACCATTTAACTTGTCCAAGTAGTATGTGCTGGATTTCCTGGGACTGGCTGCCAAGTCCAGAGGCTGGTGATTTGGTAGGAATCCCTCATGTTAGTTAGCACGGATGAGGTTTGCAAAATGGTGATGTAATCCCACCATTCCGCCCTCATTTATTATCTGGAGTACATCTGCGGAGCAAGACATTTCCCCAACTCTTCTGTTACTTTGAAGTATAATTTGGTAAGAAAGGCTGGTTATGTGCTTGACTCTTTACTTACCAATTTTCAAATCATGACTCAATTTCCCATCATCAGCCTAGGATGACCAGGACGTTTTTCATTCGATTAACATTAGAAACTCACAGATTTTTACTGTCTGATGTGTTTCCATCCATTATAGTTTTGTTCTGATTGATGCTTCCCTGGCACCCTCCCTGGCCTGTGGAGGCACCTTTCAGTGCATTCTCGAGTCCTGCTGTGACTCAGCAGCCACTTCCGTGTCCTTGCTTTCTGACACAGGAAGATGCTCCAGGCTTATCTAGCACATGCTTTCCCCAGACCTGAAGTCGGCCATTTCTTCCAGGAGAGAACACAATCTGAACCCTAGTGGTGCTCCTTGTCACTGGATCCATCAACGTTTCTAGGTCTTTCCAGGGGTCAGGGCCAGGAAATGCACTGCTGAAGAGAAAATACATCACGAGTTTAGACTGGTATTTCCAACAAATTTAGGATGGCACCCTCTTGCCTAATTTCTTTCCTTTCGTATTTGTATTTCTTTTTGGGGGGGCTGGAAATCTTGATTCTCAAAGACAGAAACATAATAACTGACTTGCGTTAGCTCACAGTTTCAGAATGACAATAGCAATATTGTTACTAGAAACATGAATGTTGAGAACGGTTTAAGTCTTTTTTTTTAGTTCCTTTTGCCTTCGCAGTATGCAGAGTCGAATTACAGTGTTTATAGCTCTCTTCAGTGATTCCTGTGTGCTGGGGAAAGACACAGAGGTGATACAAAATTAGGGACATTGTCCCATTCTGCTTTTGACTTTTAGGTTTTGTTTTTTTTTTTTTTCATTTTGATTTAATTTTTAAATAACTATGTAAAACATTTGTATGATTTCAAGGTCAAATCTACAAAACAAAGTTTATGCAGAAGAGCCTGGCTTGCCTCCCAGACCCCTACACCCTGTTCTCTCTCTCCCATTGTATTTATGCCATGGTTGCTCTTCCCACTGTTGTTTTTACTGAAATTTGGTATATATTGCAAGTCAAAAGAATCATAATATGAGTTTGTTGCAAGAACAACTTTGATTTGATCTTAAAGGCATCAAAGTGTGTCAAAGACCAATGTTAGTCCACATTACAAGGGAATGTTAGTGATGTCAAGAAGTGGCACATCCTGGGGAGAGCCCTAGTGTGCACCTTCTGGACCCCAGTCCAGAGGCGGGGTCTCAGGCAGGGTTCCTTTGTAGAGAACAGCCCACACTGGCTGCTCCACTCAGGAAGCAACTTATTAGAAGCCATGATAAAATTGCCGTGAGCTGAGTAAACAGGCTCCAAGCAGAGCTCCCTTCCAGATCGCTGCACCAGGAACACAGCGGTTCCAGAAGCATCCTGGAATCGAGGAGCTGCTGCTGTGCCTACTCCTGAAAACTGATGCTCATGCCCTAACTCTATAGACATCCAGGGACCACACACTGTGCTGCCGAGAAAAACCAATCACATCCCTCCCCGCCACACCCCCCACCCCAGGACTAGAGGACAGGGCAGAGTGGATGGCCCTCTTTCCCCTACACATCCCATGAGAGCGCCCTTACAGACCAGGGCTGCCACATTCTGAGAAAGGGCACCCTGGCTTTACAATTCCAGAAGGAACAGAGGAAAGATGGGAAGGAGAGTGGGCACCCAGCCACCCATGCATGCAGAGGACCTGTTCTGCTAACATTAGATGTGCAATGGAAGAACCATTACCATGAAGGCTTGTCGGGTTGTCATATGCCCTCCTGAGCAAGTTTTCAGGGGGAAATTTTTCAGGGGATTTTTTTTTTTTTTTGAAGGAGACTCTTGCCTGTATGAGATATGTGGCTTGAACACTAGATTTCAGCCTTTTGTCGGTATGCCTTTACCCTGCCAGTGTTATTGCTGTAATTTAGGCAAATGATTGGTTTTTAGACCTGACTTCCAGAAAGTGTTCTGCTGCCCATCATCAGTAGGAGAGACAGGAGGGTGGGGAGCAGACTCCCAGGCTGGGTCTGCACCTCCCTAAATTCCCTCCAGCTTCCAGGAGGGAGTCTGTCACTGCGCTCATTTAAGTTGGGCCAAAACGAGGGTCTGGGTCTTGGGACTCCCCAAGCTAAAGGACACACGGAGTTGGTAAAAGAGGAGGAAATTTCTTCTGTCCTGCCGTGAGCCGGACGCAAGGTCCAAGACTAGTCTGGGAGGGCGCAGGCCCTTCCTACGCGGAAAGCCCGGGAAGGGCTGTGCCCTGGGCCGGTAGGACGGCTGGGAAGCAGGCTTCCCTCGCTGTCTCCATCGTACCTCACATTTATTTTCGAAGTTTGGAGAAGGATATAGGAAGCCAGATAAACCGCGAGCCTTCTCAGAGCAGGGGAAGGGGAAGGGGGCGGTCGGGCGGGGTGGGGCTGGGCGCGGTGACTCTGCAGGACCCTTTAGTCATAGGATCGTGAGGCCGGCGGGTGGGTTAGAAACTGCAAACAGCGCTGTAATGTGGCCACCTCCGTGTGCGGGCCTGCGCTTCCCAGACCTTTGCTCCGCTCACCGCTGGGGAACTGTCCCCCTCGAGCGGCCGGGGTCCGCGCACGGCCGCCCGCGGGGGTCCTAACGCGGTGGTCGCGGCCCGCCTGGCGGCCGAGGAGCAGCGGAGGCCGAGCGCTCCGCCGGCCCCGACTTCAACTTCAATAAAAGGGCCCACCCGCCCTTGATCACGCGGCTTGCCTGACAGCCGGGCTCAGGCCCGGGCCTAATTGAGCCCAGGTCACCTGGGAATAGGTTCAAAGGCATCAAAGCCGTAAACCACCTCCAGGCCCTGAGCCAGAGCGGCCTGGCGAACAAAGAGCCCCCCCCCCCCCCCTCCCCGAACCACTTCAAACGCGCCCGCGCTCTGCGTCCAGATGGCGCGGGGCCGGGGTCCGCGGTGTCGCCCGCCGAGGCCAGGCCCCGCGCTCCCGCCACCCAGTGCCCTCCTGCCTGCAGGCGCCCAGCGCAGGGGAGGCTGTGCAGCTCCCCCGACTGCCCTCCGGGCCACTGCCGACTGGCGAAGCGGAGGGGGAGCGCAGAGGCTGGGGCCCCGCACCGGGGGCCTGGCGGTCGCCCCCGCCCCGTACCCGGCATCCCAGGCAGGCCAAGCAGGTGGGCGCGGTGGGCGCCGGCGCTCCCGCAGAGGCTCGCTGGGGCGCTCACGTTTGAAAGCACTTAGAAGGAAGGTCTGCAAAGGGCGTCGGTGCCGGGATCCCCAGCAAGCTGGGGTGAGAAAGGCCACCCAACACGAAGCCTGGGCAGAGCCGGCGCGTGTGCACCGATCCCCGAGGCGCGTGCGGGGGCAGCGGCGTCTCGGGGGGCACCCGAGTGTCCGCACGCCGGTGGTCCGGGCGCCGGGACCCCTGCCCGCGCGCGTCGTCCCCCCAGACTGAGTGTGCGGGCCGCGGCGCGGACCGCGGCGCTCCCGGGGGGCAGCCAAGGAGCACACAGGCCGGAGCACGGCCGGGGCTCCCCGCCTCGTCCTCACCTCCCGGGAGCGCATCTAGGGTAGGACTCGGCTCCCGTGCCCTTCGCGCCCCGGGAGATCCTGCAGCTCGGCGGCGCCCGACCTCCACGTTAAGGGGCAGACAAAGCAGGTCGGCAATGCCCAGGGCGCCGGGCGGCAGGAGAGTTCAGATCCCGGTCCGGGGGCGCGGGCGGGGCGCAGAGGCCCGGCCTCCGGGGTGCCGAAGGGGGAGGCAAAACTGAAAGCGCCGCGCCGGGGGGCGGGGGCGGCCGGCGAGGGCCCCAGAACTCGTCCTGCCCCCGGCCGCCGCGGCCAATCAGCGCGCCGCCCTCGCTCCTGACAACTATTTAGCAACGCGGCCCGGCTAGAGTTTCCAAAAAAGTTAGAATAACTTCCTCTCCCGGAGACCTCGGTTTTGCACAAGCCGGCCTTGAAACCGGAGCCTTTCGAGCACCTCGGAGAGCGTGTGCTCGGCGACCGCGGGCTTGGCCGGCGGCGCGCGCTCGGCGCCCGGCGCCCCCAGCCCCAAGCGCGCCGGGCGGGCGCCATGGAGGAGGGCTCCAGCCCGCCCGTGTCCCCCGTGGACAGCCTGGGCACCAGCGAGGAGGAGCTCGAGAGGCAGCCCAAGCGCTTCGGCCGGAAGCGGCGCTACAGCAAGAAGTCGAGCGAAGATGGCAGCCCGACCCCAAGCAAGCGCGGCAAGAAGGGCAGCCCGAGCGCGCAGTCCTTCGAGGAGCTGCAGAGCCAGCGCATCCTGGCCAACGTGCGCGAGCGCCAGCGCACCCAGTCGCTCAACGAGGCCTTCGCGGCGCTGCGCAAGATCATCCCCACGCTGCCTTCGGACAAGCTCAGCAAGATCCAGACGCTCAAGCTGGCCGCCAGGTACATAGACTTCCTCTACCAGGTCCTGCAGAGCGACGAGATGGACAATAAGATGACCAGCTGCAGCTACGTGGCCCACGAGCGCCTCAGCTACGCCTTCTCCGTGTGGCGCATGGAGGGCGCGTGGTCCATGTCCGCCTCCCACTAGCGCCGCGCCACCCACGTCCGGACCCGCGCGCCAGGGTAGGTGCAGTGCGCGCGACCGGCGCCCTCCGCAGCGCGGGGCGGGCGGCCCGGCCCGCGCATCCCTCCCCGTGGAGGCCCTGCGGGCCGCGGCGGCGTGGTGGGGTGCTTTTCCTCGCAGCAACGGAAGGGGTCGGTTGGGGAGCTCCCATGTCCCAGGGGCACCCTCGGGGACTTCTGCGAGTTTCCCTGCGGGGTGTCAGTCGGGGCCGAGGGGTGGGGGGCGGTGACGGCCGTGCTTTCCATGTGGCTGCTGCTGTGGGCGCCTGTGTGTGACCGTCGGGAGAGTGGGCATCGGAGGAACGGCCGGCAGCCTGGCCACTGCCCTGTGCGTCGTCCGGAGCCAAGGCCGCCCGGGAGGCTGCCCGAGCCGGGTTGCGCCTGGCGCCGCTTTGCCCTCTTCCCGGGAAGCCGCAGAACCCGTTCGTGGTGCGGACGCTGAGTTTTCGCCGGCGGCTCGAGCAGGGCCTCCCGGCCCGCTCCTCGGGAGCCCAGCCGTCGGCGCCCTGGCCGGCCGGGTGGGCGCAGAGGAGCGGGCCGGCGGCCGGGTTTGCCTTGGGGAGGGCGGGAGGACACTGTCCCGCGCTGGTGCTCCGGGGCCACTGCAGCGGGAGAGCCCGGGTCGGCCCTGCGCCCGGAGCGCGGGAGACAGGGACCGGGCTGAGGCGCGGAGACCAGAGCGCCTAGGCCGGGAGCACGCCCCGGGGGCTCGGAAACCCGCTGCCCGCAGGCAGGTGGACGGATCTCGGAGCTGGGAGCCTCTGGTTGCAGCCTTGAACCTGGAGAGTTTGGGAGGGGGCTCTGCCCGCGCTGCCTCCCGGCGCCCGGCCCGCAGGAGAGCACAAGGGGTCCAGGTTGGGAAACAGGTTTGCGGGCGAAGGGGACACAGCTGCTGAGAGCATTTGGAAACTCTGGTGTGCTCTGGAGGAGCGGTCAGGGAGCCCTGCACCGGCTCACTTTCACCAGACACCTTGCAAGTCCCTTTAGACAAGCTCTAACTCCCGAGGCGCCTTCCATTGCAGAAGGCTTTGTGAGGCTGGTGGGCATTTCCCCTCCAAGGGTTCTCCAGAGCAATGGGAAGGTGCAAAATACTTTGGGGGGGGGGGTTGGTAAAGATGCTTACTACTTAGTATGCTTTAGTTTCCTGCTCATCTTGCAGTGTTTTTGTAAGTCTCTACTTCACACAGAAGGAATTTAGATTAATCCAGAGTGTGCCCCCGCCCGTTCTCCCAAACTTATCTATTTCTTTTTTATGTGGTCCTGTAATATCTGCAAATGTTTTTGCTGTGGTCACAAAAGGCTGATATAGCACAAGTGAATTTTTTAATTTAAGTTTTTATTTCTGTGCCACTGAAAATTCTTTTGATGAAATTGCCCCCCTTAAGATAATGATCGTTTTACAGGTTTTTAAAAGAAAGAATTTTTAGCAGAGAGTAACTTTTGGGAATCTTCTATCTTTGTCAAAAACAGATGGAAAGTATCCCAATCACATATTTCTCTAGGAAAGAAAGTTTGGATTGGCTGAGTAGTAAAATGCTAGAGGGGGAATAATACATTAATTCTGGGTTTTGCTGCCTAAATTATGAGCTTCCATTAGTTAATTCCATTTACCCTTTAGACCATCCATAGTTTACAGCACATCTGAAGTAAGGACAAACAGATGAGGAATGTCATCTTTGTAAAACATACATGTATAGCTTTGTTTAAGGAAATTGTCAACAGAATTATCCTTAAGACTTCCCTCCAGACAATTATTGAAAACAAATACCAGGAGATATTACCTTAATGCAAAATTTAGTAGAATCATTTAAAATTCATTTTAAAATAATTGCATTCCTCAAACTTAGAGAATCAGACATAGATCACAAATAAAGTCATATAAAAATAAAATATTATTTATTTATTTATTATAAGTGTTGAGGGTTTTTTGGGAAAAATCCTTAAAATATAACAGATAACACATTCAGCTGGAGAACAAATAATCTATATGGCGGCCTATTTATTTTTATATACTTGAATATAACTAATTCCAGTAAGCCAATTTCTTTAGATAGATAGATAAGCACTCTCTACAAGAAGAGAAGGGAAATGTGGACATTTTTGATACACCAATAATTCTGGACACACCTTGTTTTTACTTATCAGGCATGTTGGGCAAACATTTTTTTTTTTTTTTGCTTGTTTGTTTTTATCACATTACTCTCTGTGAATATAAATACAATCATGATTGGTTTGATTTCCTGAAAATGTTGCTAAATGACATTTATTATTTGTAATATTTTTAAGAAGTGTTAGTTACATGTATCAGCAAAGAATTTCTAGAACTTTCAGTAAATTGTGTGTGATTTTAATGTCTCAATACAAGATATTTTCACATATATGAAATAAGCTGTGTCCAGATGAACAGCAACAACCACAAAAAGCCTAAATTGTTCCCTTGAAATAAAGAGGAACATAGGAAATGGTGTCCGACTGGTGCTAATATTTATCCTGACTTTCTTCTTTGGTCTGGTATTTAAACATACAAATATACTATAAATCAGGCATCTTTAGACAGTCAGCTGAGTTCATCTAATTGGAAAAATCTCAAAGGAAGTTTTTAATCTCATTAAATAAATGCTGAAGCTTTAGGAACAGAGTCAGGGGCACCTGGCTTGGAGGAAGGTGATGATTATCAGACATTTTTCCTATTCTCCGCTTTGTCATTAAAGAAAACATCTTCCCTGACTCCTGCAATATGCACAGATTTTCAGTAGGTTACTGTACTCAACAAACTACTTTTTTTTTTTTTTCCCGAGAATTTTTAGTTTGGAACTTTGGAGAACAGAGTGTGACCCTCTCACCTTCTAAAAAGTGTGTAAGCCTGTTCCTCCCTGCTGAACATTTACTTCTTGGAGGTGTTTGTTAACTGCTGTATTTGGAATGCTAGCTGGTCTCCAAAGCAAATGAATTCCCCATGGGGAACGTACATGCAGGGAAGATTCTGATTGATCCGAATAAGTGGAATGAAAGACTGAGCTATCTAAAATACAAGTATTGTTTTGTTATAACATCCCCGTCAATAAGATCCAATGGAGGGAGCTGACCTCTGTGATGTGGGTATATTGTTCTTTAAGGGTCTGTGGTTATTCTTTCAACCTTGCATGAAGAAGTCTTGCTAAGTATCTGGCCAGTGCGGTCGGGGGATGGAGGGATGGGACTTTGAGAGTGGCAGTTTGAGGTCATTTGAAATATAGTACTTTATTGAGGTTTTCTGAAAACTGTACTATTTTCAGACAAGTCTTGAGCATGAAAGAATTGAGTTTCCATCATCCTTGCTTCACTATATTCTGGGATGGACGGCACGGATGCCAGATTCCTCTTGCCTGGCAAAAAAGACCATAAAGTAAACTCTTTCTGAGCAGAGCACTATAACTCATAACTTTAGTTTAAATCTGGGCTTTAAAAAAAACAAATATTTTAATAAGCCAATTTTAAAGGCTGAACTTTTATGACAGTTTTTAAGCTTAGTATTTATATTAATCTATTCTCACTGGTGTCTTTAAAAACTCTGTGAATGCGTGCTGGAATGTCTGTTTATGTTTGTGTCTTTTCCTGGGAAAGGATAAATGTGCTGCAGAAAGCAAACCAAATGCAAAGTTCTCCACCAGCAAAGAGTCCACAAATGAGGCAGTGAAACTCAAAGAAGAGGTGAGTAAGTTACTGTAGCCAAGAAGCAGCCATAAAGAAGGAGAATCTAAGCGATATGGACAAGATAGAATAGTAAAATCAGAAACTGTTTAAGTAGATAACTCTGCATGGTTACCAGAGTCTACACATGTGATAAAATTGTATAGAATGAAACACACACACACGGCACTTAAAACTGGTGAAATCTGAGTAAGTTCTGGAGATTTTATCAGTGTTAATTTCCCAGTTGTGACATTGCATTATAGTTTTGCAAGATGTTACCATTGGGGGAAACTGAGTAAAGAGAATAAGAGACTCTCTGTGCATTATTTCTTACAACTTCATATGAATCTACAGTTATCTCAAAATAAAAAGGAAAGGATATCCCACAAGAACTTAAAATTTTTTCTATATTCAAACAAGCAAATTATATAAGGAATTATTATGCCTCATCTCGGAGTAATAAGCTAAAAATGTGGTTTGAGCCCAAATCCACTTTTTTCCTGATGTCATTTGCATTTTGTACTTCTTTTCAAAATATGAGGAATTTCAAAACATTTCCACTATATAATTAACAGTGGTTCCTTCTTATCCTTGAATAGAGTAGAATCCCAGAATTCTGAGAGGAGAAATACCAATTAATACTTTTTTTTTCCTATACTAAGAAACAAAATATTTTTCAAAGAAATTTTAGGAAATATTTACCTGAAACTGACCCAACAAATGCTTTTAAGATACTAAGCCTACACTGACATGCATGAAACACACACACAATTCTAAAACCCATGGTTTGTAAAAATTACTCACCAAGAGGTGTAGAGATTAAAGTTTTAGGACCTAGAGCCATACACGCAGGGAGAGGAGAGAGAGAGAGAGAGAGAGGGAGGGAGAGATCAAACCCTAAACTCAGTCATGGTTATTTGAAAGTAATCTTTGTTTGTGCTAGGAACATACTTTGTGTTTGGTTCAGTAGTAAAACTTTGAATGCAATTTAGTTATATTAAATGTGCCTTAATTTAATGTTTGTTTTGGAGTGGGATACAGTGACATTACGATGTGATTTTCCTGCTGATGTCAACTAGATCACAATCGGGTTTGTCTTCAGTGATTACTAATGGTGGTCGTGCTCAAGGAGACTTGAGTCAGGAACTGGAAAAGCCAGCACGTAACCTCATTCCAACATGAGAGAGATTTTTAGTGGTTAATTGAAAATAGAGTTATTTTGAACCAAAACAGTGTTTTATGTGCTTTAAATGTCTATATTGTTTTTCCTACAGCTCGATTGTTCAGAATAATGTGAGCCTGTGATTATGTGTAAGAAGTCGGTGGTT